AATAGCTAATGTTCGTCACACTGGATAACGTTTTTCATGCACATAACCGAAACGAAAGCCAAACACACGCACTGAGCAGTGTTCCAACAAATGAGAATTTTTGTCTTTATTGTACTCAGAACAACAACAGACTTTTAAGATTACAAAAAGAGCTGAACACCAAGCGTGAAGGTCTGCCCTGTGGCACAGCACAGGCTGAGGGCTTGCATCAGACCCAAGCATGGACTAAAACAGTCAAAAAAGTAAATATTTTTTAATTTCTCCTAGCGCAGTGCAATTGGTTTTGTCTTCAGCCTGGATGCCAGACAGGCTCCTCTTTTTTGGTTATGAGAATAAATGTCCTTCAGTCCCCTACTGTGACTTCTGAGTGATGGGCATCTCCTGGACATCTTCCACCACATCTCGCCGGCCAAGGCAGTGGCTGTCACTGCTCCCCAGTCTCGATGACATCGTAACATTGCAGGTCTCTATTTTCCTCATTCAATGTAATCAGTTCCAATATTTTTATTTTTATTTTTTTTTAAAAAAAAAAAGAAAAAAAAGAGGAGTCTCAACAATCCAACTAACGTCCTTCTCTAGAAGCGGAATTTGGCCTCAGATGCTATTAATTTAGGCAAAAACACTGCCGTTTCTGAAAGGTGACTGAAAAAGACCACCCTGCTGCAACCGCAATGCGACAGCAGCCAAAAGAAAATGGTGTGAGGATGCTTGGACCTCACTGCTCACCTTGCAAAGGACAGAGGTTCGCGACCGCAGCAGCAAAGTCCCACCGAGCCAGGGCGAAGGCTTTTTCCGTGTCACACCTAAGGAGCTGAAAGCTTAGCCCTCGCCTTGGAACCAGGCCTGGGGAAACAACCACATTATTGTACCTGAAAGTCTTTCTGCCCCTTCCGTCGGCCACTTGTTCTTTTCCTTTTTGGTAATCCTGCGGCGTTTGCTTTATGACTTTACTCAGCTGTGGTGAAAACGAGCACTTGCAGAGACATTATGCTTTGATACTTCCATGAATACTATAGCTGTGGGCTGAGAGTCCTCCCCAGGCAAAAAAGGCACCAGCAATGAGCTTTTTTTTGGCTTATTACAAAGAAAATAAAATATATCAATATAGAGAACTCTTTTTATTACAGAAACATGTTAACAAATAAAAACAGCATTAAATTGCCACAGAACACAAAATACCCGGCACAGAGAGCAGCTTATTATAAATTTGCTGTGGTTTTACGTGTGGTGCAGATATTTACTTTTTGAATCACAAGAGCAGGTTTCCCTGCCGTTTGAAAAGGGAATGAGCAAAAAGTCCCTCCCTGCTGCCGGGGAGCGGTTGAGCCAGCGAAGGTGGGAGAGGGAGAGCTGCAGCCTGTGCTGTATCTCCTCCAGACCCCCCCCAGTCCTCTGTCCCCCCCAACCCCAGGAACAGGCTGGAGCATCCATCCCCTGGAGCTCTGCCCGGAGCCTGCAGGTTTCCAGGTGCTCTGTCGTCTTGAGAGCGGGCACCAGGACGTGATGGTGAGGAGCACGGACTCGGCCAGTCGTTACGGTACCAGAAAGGATTTCTGTGCCTCTAAAAGTCTGCTCTGAAACAGTTAGAAAACAGCTCCCGCTCTCTTCGTTCCAGGATTCTGCCCTAAAGTGCAAGGACACTTTGTGCAGTCAAAGAGGGCAGAAATAAAGGAAACTCTGTTGTTTGTTATTGAAACGTCAAGGGAAAGAGATCGGTAAGTGGAGGGGCAGCTGGGAGCTGGAGACAGCCTGCGTTGGCAAGTGACTCTGCAAGGGGGGCCAGCTCTTCTGCTGGCCCCTATGGCCAGGAGGCAGGTGATGCCTTGGGTACCACCTCAGCATCCCTATGGACCATGGCGATGACCCCATCAGCACCACCCAGGCCAGAGTGACAAGTGTGAAACCAGCACGTGGTGGTGAAGGGGGAAAGTCTCCTGCCTGCCCTCCACAGGGACGACTCACTCGGTCTTTACCTCCCCGTGCACCGTGTGCGATGCTCCTGGCTTAACTCTGCTTTTCCCCAAAGCCAAGCAAAAAAGGGGCTTTCAACTTCTCTGGGAATGGTGTTCAGATGCTGCCAGGCTCTCCAGAAATGATCGCACAGTCTCACCAAGAGCCACTACCCAAGCTCTTCCTCTTGCTAAGCAAAGATCCCTGCTGACCATGGATGGTGCTGGTGGGAGCCCGCTGGGTGAAGGTGGGCGAAGGTCTGCGGTCACTGGCCTGGGAAAGCTGGCTACCCAGGCAGGCAACTGCACCACGTCATCCATCTCACATCTTCTGGCATTCCACAGGATGGAGGGAGAGCTCCTCCTGCACTAACTAAAGGCAACCACATCTCACACCCTTTATCTGATGTAATCGTACCCTTCCGTGCGACAGCGCTGCTCCCAGGCTGACACCAATGCGTGTGTTCCTTGTCTTCCATCTGCCGCCTCCAGCGGGAGCTGATGGGCCAAGCCATGATCTGGATTAAGCCAGCACAAAAGCCCACATGCTTCCCAGAAAGACCAAAGCAGAGCCACTAAAACCTCAGGGGGACATGGACGTGGTTTCTGTCCTGGCTTGCGAGTCAGTGACACCAAGGGGGTCCCCTCTCTGAGGGAAGCCTCAGGGATGGCTTCTAAATAATTGTGAAGATGATGGAATACTCTTTGCTTTATTAAAGCAAAAGCAGACAAGAAAATGCAGAAAAAAATCCCACAATTTTACAAAGACACATGGCAGTATCTGGACTTTGGTATTTCGAAAACCTCTTTTTTTCTTTTTTCCCCAGTTTCTGCAGCAGCCCATGAAAATAAGGAATGAAACAGTGTTAACTCCCCCCCGGCCCTGGCAAACAGACAAACAAGTGCTTCTGATCCTGGTTCCCATCTCCTCCAGTCATCCCTCTAATAATGTCATAAAAAGTCATCTTTTGAATACAAAAAAAAAAAAAAAAAAGTTGCAGAAGCTTACTTTGGTGCTGAAGAGACAGGGAACACAACCCCAGTTGCCAAAGGCAGCCCCACTGCTCCCCTGCCCCATTGGCCCAGGGACAGGGGGTACTTCATATGAGCTCCTGCTCCCCCTTTAAAGCAAACACTGCTGGAGGGGCTGCACACACGTGTTACATGCACTGGGCAGACAACACATAGGCAGTATCCCCTTCTAAATAGTTTCTCATTCGCACTATGAGCCCACCAGCAAATCAGGGTATGCAAATCCTGATGAAGTTTGATTTCTTCCCACTCTCCCAGCAGAAAAGTCCCCAGCAGGATACCTCCAATCTTATTAACTAATAAAAACTTCACTGACATGAGCTTGTGCAAAATACAAAGCTCTCCAAAGGAGCTATTCAGATTGCTCATAAACATCCTTCTGTCGATAACAGGGATCAGGGCACTACCAACCCAGTAGTTCATTGTATTCTTCTGCTAACAGCCAGAAAATGTTCAAGAAGAGAGGAACGCACCAGCAGGATCTTTTTACTGGTTCATTAGCAAATATTAGGAGATCGTATCTACATTTGAAACACTTGCAGCCCTCTAAAATAAGAAAAGCTATTGAGAACATCGTCCTGTTGGCTGGCATTCAGGAAGGTTATCTACAGGTTGCTGTTGCCACCTACACTAAGGGATCTCAGGAGGAAGAGCATGATCAGAACCATATCTAGCAGGGGAAGAAAACTCATCATAAATAACTGCGAAGAGAGATCCTCCCCTTCGATAGTTTTGGGGCTTTTTTTCCCTACTCCTTCCCTTGATGAAAAGATGACAGCACGATTGAAAAGTGTCAGGAAAATTAATGTGTTTGTTCTTACTGAGAGTTTGCAAAGAACCCAGACGTTGCACAAGGGCATCTGCCCGAAGAGCTGGCAGTGATCCTCAGCCTGTGAACGGTCCAAGCAGCAGAAGCATTAGCACTGTTTTCTGCACGACTCGTACGTGGCAATCACTCAGCCTGAACCTCATTGCTCTTCACTTTTAAAGCCATCTGACCAACACCAGTAGGTGGTATCAGGCAGGGGGATGCAGCGTGACGTGATGCACGTGTCTGATGGGGTTCACCTCTCCAGGCTCTGGCACTGGCTTTGTGCTTGTGGTGTCTCTGTGCCAGGAGACCACCTCAGTGCCCTGGGTGGGCACAGCTCCACCACAAGCCCCGCTCCATACCACAGTGGCAAAATCACTGCCTGCCAAGAAACTACTAACTTGCTGTTTGCCTGCACCAGCACAAGGAGCCCTTGTAGACGTCTATCATAAAGTCAGACCATGTTGCAGTCCCCTTCACCAGAAGGCTGTGCCGCCATACAGTGAGACCTGTAGAGGCAAGAGGGTTGGGCAGAGAGGAGCCAGATGAAATTCAGAAGGGCAAGGTCTTGCACCTGGGGAGGAATAACCCCCTGCACCAGGACAGGTTGGGGGCTGACCTGCTGGAGAGCAGCTCTGTGGAAAGAAACCTGGGAGTCCTTGTGGACAACAGGATGACCATGAGCCAGCAATGTGCCCTTGTGGCCAAGAAGGTCAATGGCAACCTGGGGTGCATCAGGCAGAATATGACCAGCAGGTCGAGGGAGGTCATCCTGACCCTCTGCTCTGCCCTGGGGACGCCCCATCTGGAGCACTGGGACCAGTTCTGGGCTCCCCAGTTCAAGAAAGACAGGGAACTGCTGGAGAGGGTACAGCAAAGGGCTATGAAGATGATGAGGGGACTAGAACATCACTCTTATAAGGAAAGGATGAGGGACTTGGGTCTTTTTAGTCTGGAGAAGAGAAGGCTGAGGGGGGATCTGATCAATGCCTACAAATACTTAAAGGGAGGGTGTCAGGAGGATGGGGCTGGTCTTTTTTCAGTGGTGCCCAGGGACAGGACAAGAGGAAATGGGCACAAACTTGAACATAGGAACTTCTACCTAAATGTGAGGAGGAACTTCTTCGCTTTGCGGGTAGCAGAGCCCTGGAACAGGCTGCCCAGAGAGGTGGTGGAGTCTCCATCTCTGGAGACATTCAAAACCCACCTGGACACGTTCCTGTGCAACCTGCTCTGGGTCAACCTGCTTTGGCAGGGGGTTGGACTGGATGATCTCCAGAGGTCCCCTTCCAACCCCATGTCATTCTGTGATTACCTTGGCAAAAGCCTGTAAGTGCCATGCCTGCCAACAACCCCTGGTCAGGTCTTTTTGGTGGTTTTGGTGGGCTCACGACTGTGAGGGAAGGGGGGAACCGAAACACCATGGGGAATGCAGGCTTGGCCACTTTGTGGGAAGCAGAGCCCACCAAATAAACAGATCTGAATACAGGTGTTGGGTAGGCCTGTGTTTCCTTCTGAACTTGAGGTATGACACAGAGTCAAGCCAATGCTTATGCCTGAAAAAACAACCTGCTTTTCCCAGATGTTCCTGACTGCTGGGACCCACCAGCAGCTGCGGACCCACTGACCGCTGCTGTTTGGTGGCTGTGGACTGAGTGCCCCTGTTTGCCAGGGCACGTTTATCCATCCTCAGGCAGAGCTACAGCCTGTCCTGCATCAGCCACGAGGCTGTACCACCACCTTGTCACCAGTGCCACCACCATGCCACCTGGAGCTGCTGGGGACAGGTGGTGCATGTAGGATCGTGTCCCCCTGGCCTGCAATCAAGCACTGCAATTAGCAAGAAGTGCTTAGAAAGGCAGAAGGTCTCTTCAGTGTTTCCTTTCCAACCCCCTGAACCATCATGGCAGCACCAGCCAAGTCACCACAGCCATCTCTCAAAGGACAGGAGTAGCAGCAAGAGTCCTGGATATGCTGGCGTCCTGCACATGGGGTAAACGAACCCGTTTTGGGACAACAGTCCCATGGCCTCACAGGTCCTGCAGATCCCAGCCCCGCTGCTTTGCTCCTGGGACACTTGATGCTGGCATCGGAAAGAATAGTTGGGACAAACGGGCAATATGTAGTGTAGCTGGAAACCCGGTGTCCGGGGACACCTCACGGGAGCAGAGCTGGTGAAGGGTTGGGCAGGGGCCTCGGGGTGCCCACGGGAGGAGGGGAGAGTGTGAGGTCTGAGGACATCAGGCACTTGCGGAGGTGGGTACGGCCGTGTTGGAGGAGCAGCAGCTGCCGAGGACGGGAATGTGACTGCTGAGCGCCCGGGTGGCCCCAGGGCAGACCGAGATCCAGCTTTGACTGGCTGCAGGAAAAACATCCCAGATGGAAAAACAGCAGCCATCCGCCATCTCTGGAGATTTCCAAAGGTCACCTATCCCTCCAGCTCTTCTGCTGACAACCCTGTAAGAGTCCACCAGCACATATGGACGCTCCTCCACGCTGCTGGGCAGGCAGGATGGCAGCAGGGTGGTGTCCGGGCAGACCCCACAGCACCTTTGTGTCCCAGCAATCCATCAAGCTGCAAATTCATCTCTTCCCCCAACTCTTCGCGGCTTCTCTACTGCCATATTTTAACTCATCTGCTTCCCAGCACCATAATGCAAATAAAAAGTCCCGGAGGAGGCCAGTAAAGTTACCCACGCTCAAACTTATAGGCTCAACCGGCTTCTCGTCTTGTTCTATTTAAAAAAAAAAAAAAAAAAAAAAAAAAAAAAAAAACAAAAAAAAAAAAAAAAAAAAAAAAAAAAAAAAAAAAAAAAAAAAAAAAAAAAAAAAAAAAAAAAAATTGTTTTTTTTAAAAAAAAAAAAAAAAAAAAAAAAAAAAAAAAAACACAAACAAAAAAAAACAAAGCACAAATCCAACAACTGCTGGCATTTCTCCCAATCTCCCGTGGCCCGGGCCACTGAAAGTCGCTGCAGAAAACACACAAATGAGAGAGCGTAGACACAGCGCCGCTGCCACCGTGCCCCAGTCCCCTGTCCCCAGCACAGCGAGCCAGCCAAACACAGGTAGAAGCCGCGGCAGGTAGTTCAGTTCAGAGGTACCTCAGGAAAAATAGAAACGTCAGGAATCCCAGCGGGTAGTCCCTCGTTACCGTCCCGTCTTCTCGGCCTCCGTAGAGGGGATTCCCCAAGGCACTGCAGTACAGTAGTGCAGAAATAACAGGCAGGAGATGGCTGAAATGGGGGTGGCAGAACTGGGAAGGTCCCTTCCAGAAGATCACTGCGCGTGGAAGTAGATAGGCTTGACTTTTCCAGACAGGATCTTGGGAACCTGCACAGAGATGATCTCGGCCATCATTTCAGGGTAGTCCACGCTCACCATATGCGCCTTTATTAAAAGGTCAAATGTAAACTGATGCAGATCCTTGGCAATCTGGGAAAGGAAGAAAGTTCGTTAAGCAAGAAGTGCCTGGTCAACGTTTTCTCTGAGAAAATACCGAGCAGACGTTAGCAGGCACAGCAGGTCAGGGCCAGCCCTGCTGTGGTAGGACCTGCTCTCTGGACCTGCTCTCTGGCCATCACTGCCTGGTTAGCAGTTATCAGATGGCAGGAAAGCACCCCAAAGATGAGCGAGGGAACTACCCAGTCTGGGAGCACATAGCGTATTTTGCCATGGCCCTTCACTCTCAGACGTGACTGAGTTCCACCAAAACAGGGATGTATTAAAAATGGTACTTTCTTTCTCCTGCAGAAACTTGTCTTACTGTGTGCAGATGCTGCTGACTTCACTTACTAAGAATTACTTTTTGCTTGTAAACACATAACTGCTGTAATCAGAGAAGATTCACTGGGGGCACTGAGATTTTGAGCTGTTCCGCTGGGCTGACGACGGACAAGTATCATTTACAAAAAGCTTTTCATTGCTAAAAAGCGAAGCCCATAAACCCATGCATAAGAATGGTCATTGTAGGGAGTGATAGACAAGGGTAACTTCCACTCCCTTGGCAGAGTTAGTGGCCATCTTTCCTCTGTCACTTAATCTGGGAGCACACTGCAATACTGTCCCTGCAAAGGTGTGCCAAGAGTTAAAAAACAAAATCATCAAACAGCCCAGGTTGGAAGCGACCTTGACCTTGGGAGGTCACCTGGTCCAACCTTTCCTAGGAAAAGGAGCCTGGATGAGACTATCCAGTGCCCTATCCAACTGTATCTTGAAAACCTCCAATGATGGGGACTATCACAACCCTGAGGAGGTTGTTCAAGTGAATGATCATTCTCACTGTGAAAAGGTTTTTCTTATATTGTTTCTTATGTGTATGGATAAGACATTTTACTGTCCTCTCTTACAGGATGCACGGAGTCCAGGACCTTGGTGAGCTGGTAAAATCGCCGAGAGCAGGAGGTAGGGTTCTTCCTCTTGCAAGCGATGATACGGTCAAGTTCCTTAATGTAGTTCATTCGAAGTTCATCAAAGAGCTTCTGGTTCTTCAGGCCATCCACTGGAACTGGACGGAACACGGGAAGGAAACAGTAAGAGTTGCCCAGAGAGTGGAGAGAATAAAAGGGCAAGAGGAAGGCTGGAGAAGTGGTCAGGGGAGACCTAAGAGGGAAGACCTGCCCACTAGCCCTGCTTCCACTATGGCCCTCACTCTGACCAGCTTGTTGGACTACTGTTAACCCAAGAACCCTTGTTCAGCACTGGTTATAAAAGAGAAGCACGGTAACAAACTGCAGAGCTATTTTCCTGCTCAGCAGGTGATGGCTGGAGGTCCCCATGATGACAGCAGTTAGGCTGAGGAGCAACCTCCTGCCAGAGCTAAATGGAGAAACGCTCCACTGTCCATAGGTGGGATGGGCTGGCTGCAGGGTGGCTGGGTGGTGGCACCCCTATGCTTGGCAGCTCATTGTCTCTGAGCAGCTCAGCTTGAAGCAGAGAGAACATTCAAAGCCAAGGAGCACATGCACATGGCCGGGGAAAGCACCAGGTCTCTCTAGGGCGATACAGCGTAGAGCAACTGTTGAGGAAAAGATGGGAGTACTTACTAATACTGAAGAAGAGTAGAGCCTTCATACAGAGAAACTCCTGGGGTGTGATCTGAAGCCACCCGAACTCCTGAGAGAGGTGCCGCATCCTGACGCATTGGCTGTACATCCTGGATTTGTGCATCCGGTACCTGGCAGGGCAAGGAGATCAGAGATGTGGGGCGGGGAGGACACACTGTGCCCAAGCCGGTGATCCCGGCCTCGCCTGGCACATCCCCACTGCCAGGAACCCAGGCTCTATCTCGGGGGATGCTGGCAGCAACAGGCCTGCGTGCAGGAAAGGAATGTTCTTCCAAAATGCCCGTGTGTAACCCTCGTGGGTGATCTACCACCCCGTGGATGATCTACCTGGGATCTACAGGGTTAGTCTGACTCTCTGCCTTCCCGAAAAAACGACTGCGGTGATTCACCAAATAGGGCTGCCCGTAGGAGATGCCAAGCTGAGCTTGGAGCTCTCAGAGAGAAGGTGTGGTTTTGCTTGCTGCTCTACTTATTGCTTCTAAGCTCTTCTACCTCAGTGTCAGCAAACCCTCCCCAGTTCTAAGCTGATGCTACACCACAGACACCCCATCAGGAACTCAGAATAAATGTTTACTTCTGTTTCTGCTCATTCCAGCTGGCCAACCAAGTTGAAAAGAGGAGCTCAGATGCCTCAGAAAAAAGGCAGGTCTGTACGGACCAGCCCTTCACACCTTGCACCAGCACTTGCTGCTGCCCTGATGGAAGTCAAACCCAAGGAAAGGTGGCAGGAAAGGGAAGAAGGACCAGCAGAGAGCTTGCAAATCTCCTTATTGCTCCTGGAGATCGTTGCAGAGCAATTAGAGGGGAAAAGCAGGGCCCTCCTATGTTTTGTTGGCCAGCTCTGAAAGTACAATTACTCAAGCTGTACGTTTCATAAGCAAACGGGTAAGCACATTCCTTGTCTTGTTCTCATTTCTCACCTTGCCTGACCCGCACAGAGCACACTATTAGACTGCTGATATTTCACACTTACTCATTGAAGACCAGATCTGGAGCGAAGTAAAGCATCCTGGAATTGACGTTGGTGAAAGATCTCCAACCCATAGCAAAAACCATGAGGCCCATCCAAGAGTATTGGATTATTGACATCTGGTCATCCACATGCAGGTTGCGAAATCCTATTTAAAAAAAAAAAAAAAAGAGGGGGATATTACAAATTAACGTTGGCTTCCTGCAGTTACCAGGACTGTTTTCAGGCAGGCTCCAGCCCTCCCACAGGGGTCTCCTCCTATGACAAGTTGTTTCACATCCAGTGAGGTGAACAAGCCTCATCCTGCAACGAAAGCAGCCAAAAAAGATCCAGCAGGATGGGATTCAGTGACTTCCTAAAGTCCCGCAGGATAATGGGTCCAACCAGGGGGGGGTGAGCAGGTCCAGCTCCTCCAGAACCAAGCTGGCCTTGCCACAGTCCTCATTTCTGGCACTAATTAAGCACCCAAACCCACCGAGTCTTACTGTGCCGTATGCTCTGCAGTCTCGGCGTAACCTCCAAAGTCTCCACTCCAAAACAATTCGCAACTACCACGTGAGACAGTATGTCAAAAGGGGGTGAAATTAATAGCCGATGAGGATTTGTTTGCTTTGCTCTGCCAACAAATAAATCAGCTGAAGGGGAGCAGGAGCCCCAGCAGCAATACAATTAACCATATCACATTCTCCAGGCACTGAGGCAGAAACAAGCCCTCATTAACCAATTACCTCAGTTGGAGCAATTCTGGCACTCAAGGAAATAAGCCAAAAAACTTCCTTTATTAGATCCCCTTTAGGACTTCACCAGATTTAAGTAAATGGATTTTAATGTATAACGCTCAGAGCCAGCAAGTAATCCCAAGGCCTCATCACATGGTTAACAGACTGCAGTTTCTCCATCAAACACACAATGCATTTATCTAATGACTATGAAAATGAATATGAAAACCTCTGCTGAACTGCAAGCTAGACAAAAATATCAATTAAATTTAAATTAGTATTCCCAGATGGTGGCTCACAGTTAAATCCCAGGCATGTTTACAACACACGCACAAACATCACCTCCAACACTACTTTTTTTTTCCAGCTACTTGTAAATAGCCAAATGTAATCTGGTTTCAAGAAAATCATACGCTATTTCAATCAAATATTAAAGCAATTATAACACCTCCAGTGTATAATTATAATCCATTGAGGCAAGCATCTGTCTCTTGCTTGGGAAGCTGTCAACTGCAAATGAGCACAAGTCATGTTTTACTGCTGACTAAACTTGCTTTACGTTTGTACATTTTCCTTTCAGCTTCTGTGTCAGTGGATTAAAAAACCTGAAGCTTGCGTGCAAGTAGTGTCCTACCGAACCCGAAGAGGTGATTTCCAACCAGAGGGCTCTCAGCTACTGACTGAACATGAACCTTCTGGGAGCCAGAGTGAAACTCATTAACAGCAACACCAGTACAGACAAGGCATCTGGGCAACTCAAGGACTTCATAAAATCACTCACACTCATCACTAGGACATGTCTGACTTGGATATTCATATTTAATTACACTCCTGCATGCTATAAAAACCTGTCCTATTTATCCTGTAAATATAGTCAGAGAAGAATTCACTGCCTAGTAAAACCTAAGCCATTCAGAACATCTTCCTTCCAATACAGGTTAGGGGTGGACCCGCTAGAGGCAACTACTGAAGAGAAAGATCTAGGGGTCCTGGTGGACAGTAAAATGGCAATGAGTAAACAGTGTGCTCTTGCGGCCAGGAAGGCCAATGGTATCTTGGGTTGTATAGGGAAGAGTGTAGCCAGCAGGTCAAGGGAAGTCATTCTCCCCCTCTACTCTGCACTGGTGAGGACTGTGTCCAGTTCTGGGCTCCCCAGTTCAAGAGGGACAGGGAACTACTAGAAAGAGTCCAGCGTAGGGCTACAAAGATGATTCAGGGATTGGAGCATCTCCCTTATGAGGAGAGACTGAGAGAGCTGGGACTCTTTAGTCTGGAGAAGAGAAGGCTGAGGGGAGACCTTATCAACGCCTACAAGTATCTCAAGGGAGGGTTGAAGGAGGAGGGAGCCAGACTCTTTTCAGTGGTTCCCACCGAGAGGACGAGGGGCAACGGGCACAAGTTGGAACATAAGAGGTTCCACTCAAATATGAGGAGAAACTTCTTCACGGTGAGGGTGACGGAACCCTGGAACAGGCTGCCCAGGGAGGTTGTGGAGTCCCCTTCTTTGGAGATTTTCAAAACCCGCCTGGATGTAGTCCTGAGTAACATGCTCTAGCTCTAGGCAATCCTGCTTCAGCAGGGGAGTTGGACTAGATGATCTCTATGGTCCCTTCCAACTCTAGAAATTCAGTGAAATTCAGTGAAATTCAGTGAATATCTTCCTGTTCCATACCTTTTCCTTGTCTTTTTCCTTGCCTAGGCTTTCTGAATAGATGGGAAAAACCTGAGTACCTGAGTTGAAGAGGAGCCATGCTGCTGGCCCCAGTAGCTGAGACTGTGCGATGAGTAGGCAGTGAGATGGTGCCAGGAACATTCCCATGCCGGCACCAAGTGCTGAGGATTAACATTTCATCAGCCAGCTAAGCACTCACCCCACCCCAAGTCCTTAAGGTTGGGTTTTTCCCCTTTTTAAATTGCTCTTTGAAGGAAAAACGTATCTTGTTCTCAGAGAGAATTAGCGGAAAATGCTCTATTACAAAAAAAAGGGCAAACACTAAAGAGTAGATCAAACTGAAGGCTGACGGCCAAAACTACTTCTGTAGTTTGAAAAGCTCTGAAGAAGGCTCAGCGCAGCCCTTCTGACAGGACAGTGAGGACACAGTCCAGCATGCTCGGGCAAAGGAAAGATCATAGACTCATAGAAGAGTTAGAGTCGGGAGGGACCTTAAAGACCATCCAGTTCCAACCCCCTGCCATGGGCAGGGACACCTCCCACCAGACCAGATTGCTCAAAGCCCCATCCAACCTGGCCTTGAACACCTCCAGGCATGGGGCAGCCACAATGCTCTTAACCACCCAGACAAGAAAATCCTACGAACACAAACATATTTATGACAGCAGATGCTCTGCCTTCAAAAGAGATGCAAAAATGTCCCAACAAGAAGTTGGGTCCAAGAGGTGCTGTAGGGCCAGAAATGAACTGCAAACCAGGGCATGAGGAAGAGGATGAGGTGGGGAAGGAAGAAGGCAAACCAGAGGTCTCTGGTGCTTGGCTTGAAGCCCATAAAACCTACTACCAACGAGGAAACCTACACTCTGTATGTGACTTGGGACGAGTATCAGCTTTTCAATGCATCTGTGAAAGTATCTGCTGCCCCTAATCTTTGCCACAAGAAGGATTTGGTGCACTTGTTCATTACCTTGTAATTATGTTCACCGAAAAAAAATATTTGTGCAAGCTTTATCACTGTTTAAGGGAAGGTATTTGAACACAACAGTTTTGTTGTTGCAGGACTTAACGTTTGCTTTCTGCTTGTCCACAAAAACAGGCCCTAGAAACCCAGTGGCTCACTGTTTCTAAAAGGCATCACCACTTCCAGTTTCTGAACTGAAATGCCTTGAAACAAAACTGACTTGCAGAAACCAGATACCTATCATTTTCTGGAAACCTCCTCCCTCCAGGCATCTGAGATGATGTATGGCCAAAATCACTGTATAAGAAAATAAATACAAACCTCATGCCACAATCTATTGTTAAATTTTCAGTATTGGCATAGTTTGAAGAAAAACAAATGAAGATACCTTCTACAGAAAGCAATCCCAGCAGAAGTAAAATTCAATTTACTGGTGACTTGAAAAAGATCAATGCATAACCTTTTGTCTTGCGAATAATCTTAAAGCCAGATAGTTCGGAAAGAAAGGCTTTATCTTCTCTCTTGATGCAATGCTGTGCCAGAATGGTATCTTCCTAAGAGATAGCAGCTGAACATCTCACATTTAACATATGTAAGATAAAGAAATACTCGGTTTGTCTGTGGAATTTTTATTGTTTGGAGAATGGCAGTATAAGGATGCAATGGAGAATTGCATCCTTATACTGAAAGGGTGAGTTAGATAATAGTATAAGGCAGTAGATTTGAAACAGAAATGCAAGCAATGGCCTGGAACACCCATAAAGCCCTAACCCAGGGCAAGTACACAGAGATTCTGCACCCTCCCTAATAAATAGGTCCATCTCCCGTGATCCCAGGGAGGGTATTTCACCTGAGCACAGGGGCACTGAGCTGCTAAAAATGCGAAGGCTGCTCATCTTCCTCGCTGGCAGCAGAAGCAGGGCTGCCCCTGCCCTCCCCCCAGCTCTGCTTCCCCGCACACCCACAGGCCAGGTATTTCTTATAGCCTGATTCCCAAACAGCTTCTGGAATGAACTGAAGTCTTTTCATTTGCTGCCAGCTAAAATAGATCTTTACCCTAATGTGTCTGAGTGCCGATATAAATGAACTGTAACACCTTGGCTGAATTTATATATATGGGAAAGGGAAAATACATACTCCTTTCACTTACCCTGCAGTGGACACATTTTATGGATTTAATAAGATTTTTTAATTCTGCATTTCAGCAGCCTTCTTGGCAAGCTGTGGCTGTTTAATCTATTTCCAGGGAACCCACAGTTTGATTCTACCTTCTCCTACGCAGAATTTCAATTCCACAGGGTCCAAAGGGCCATACTTTTCATTTTTTCCACTGGACAGATATTGCTACTGTGGGAACTCAGGATTCCATACTGCTCCTACCTGGTGCAGTCTTGTTTCTAGGATATCACTGAAACCTCACGGCGCAGGAACACCTTGCTGCATACTCATCACTCTTGGTGTACAGCTAATGCAGGATGCGAGGTTAATAATCACCTATCAATATTAATCTACTGCCAGTCTTATCAGGCTGAAGCTACCTCTATTACATGTGCAAGTTCCCCCTCCTCCCATCAGCAGCAGTCACTGGGAAGTCAAACCTTTGCCCCTTTACACTGATATATATCTTCACTGACAGGCAGGGCTACTCCTGCTTAGTTAAGCCAATGTTCATGCCAGATGTGGTTCCTTAACGGGGAAAGAAGAGGGGGATAACATTTCCACCCTCACTGAGGACCTGCTGAGGACCAGGCAGCTGATGCTGGCTTCTGGGCTCCATGCAGGGCAGAGGACTGAGCGAGGTTTGCCTCTGCTTGGCACCAGAAACGCCAGCCTCGGGCACTGTTCCTGCTCCTGGCCGATGCCGCCTGTGCCCTGTGCTCCCATTGCACCTCGCCAGCCACGGCGTTCATTAAACAGCCCCCAGCCTCCCCACAGACCCCGTGAAGATCGTGCTGTTTTGATAAAAACAACCACATCCCGCTGCTTGAAACTTGCCTGGGTTTTATTTCCATTACGTCTCCCCCTGCACGCGTTCATCGCCCATCTCCACAGCCTGCCCGGCCGCCCAGCCAACCTGAAAACCCTGCTGCTTTATTAACCAAAATAGAATTTAAATTCCATCACAGCTAGCATTCTGAAAGGTTTACCCAAAAAAAGCCAGGTGGCAGAACCCGGGCACGGCTCCCAGGGGGAGCATCAGCAACCAGAGAGGGCAGGACCCAGCAGTGGATGAGACCCACCAGGCTCCTGCTGGGGCCAAGGGGCTGCGTAACCACCGCCTGGAGCACCAACACAGCAATGGCGCTGCGCTTGTTTACTCCTTCCCTGGAAAATATCACAGGAATGACTAAGTGGCAAATTTGTGGTTATTACTGTTGAATAACAGTTGGCACATGGCAGGGAACTGCTGAGAGAAAGCCAGGGAAAACAAAGTGGCTTTGCCTCCCGGCACAGGGATGCTAATGGTCAGCCCAGCGCCAGCAGGATGGGGAGGCAGCCAGGCAGCATCCCTCCACGCAGGAGGGCTGGCCTCCAAAACGGATCCCCTGCCCAGAGAGCGGTGACTGCTTCGACATCAGAAAATTAGGATTAGTTTTGCCCAGATGCCATCGCCACAGTGCAGCAGCCAGCGCCGCCGGTGAGGGATCCAGCACAGGGCAGCAGAGCGAAAGCCTTTGCAAAGGGGGTGATTACAAAGAAAAATACTTTTCATAGCTCTCTCCCTCTCCATTAGCACTACTGCCATTTTATAACCTCAGCCCCCGGATCACTGGTCAGGTTTGGTAGTGTCTCCGTGTACTTTTCTGAAGAAATCTTAATGCCTGATGTAGATAAGCCAGAAGAGAAAGCATGATTTGTCCCTGGTTTCACAGACCAGATGAACCTTTTCTGACTCAAAACCACAAGAAACAGAATGGGCCATTCTGCATTTAAGCATATTCAGACTAACACCCCTCCTGGAGCACAGGTCCAGCTGCTTCCCGATTTCTGGGAACATCAAATGTCTGGTTTTGGCATAGAGCAGTGAACTTATTTTGCCTCAGATTCCTTCTTTGGTCATTATCAACCAGCACATAAAGTGTAGGACCCCTGTTTCCTGCGGTATTTCCTGAGGACCAGGGCCAGGGTGAGGAAGGCAGCTCAGTACCATCCCCACACCGCAGTCTGAGGGATGCTGGAAGGTGAACTGGATCCTGCTGCACCCAGAGATCTCCATCTTCTGTAATTGCACTCATTCAGTTGGCAGGATTACGACACACAATGGGCAGCATGTTCCAGGCTGGAAACCTCTACGCTCAGAACCAAGGAGCGTGTCCAGTGGAACTCATACATCACCGGGATGTTTCCACTTACAGCACCTGATAACTCCTACTGTTTGGAAACTCCCCGACCCTTAATGTACTCCCATATCATGTCTCTGAATGCATCATAAATATATTCTAGCAATCTGTCACGCAAGAGCAACCTGACTGCCAGGAAGAAGCCCTTTGGGATTTTGTATCTCTCTTTCACTCTTTTATAATTAATTGGCTTGTGAAATACAACAAAAAGCAAGGAAGGATGACTCCCGTCTCTCAAGCCTCAGCTCCTCTCAGCCCAGTCTCCCCCATCTCACATTCACACCATGAAGTGGGATGCTTCACCTGGAGAATTTACCATTTTCACCACTTTGTGCAGGTTACAGGATGGGCCTAATACTTGTTTAGAGAAAACTTCAGCAGGTCTGGTGGACACAGCTCTGGAAGTGAAGGAAAACTGCCGCACAGAGAGAAGGAAGAGAACAAGATGCTGAACCCCTGACCAGCAACAGCCCTTCCCCTGCAGGGAGGCAGACACACACATACACCCTACTGCATGCCAGGGGTTATCAGAACCCAAAGGGGTAAGTTTCTACATACTTTGCCACCCCTTCATCACCTCTCCCATCAAAGGAGACAAACCTGATGCTGCTGCAGCCTGCTTTATGGGGAAATTACACAGCCAGCCACCTTGGGAAGACCATGTGATGGTGGGACACAGGCTACAGACCACCTTCTTGGACAACCACCCCAGATGATATAAACAGGGGACTTTAGGAATGTGCCAGGGAAGGGATGGGATTTGTTGAGTACTCTTCCTCACCTGGCAAAGCCTTTGCCCATTTGACCACGTAGACCAGCTGCCTCTCCCCGAGCTCATTCAGGCTGGTCAGCAGGTTGGAGAAGGAGTCCGGCTGGCTGTTGTCATGGCCGGCACACACCACGCCAGGCTCGATGGCCTCTAGGACGTTGAGGAAGATGGGCTGGCACTCATAGCCATCAATGCGCGTCATCACCATCTTGGGAGCTTGCTCTTCTGTGGGGCTGGATAAGCTGGCTCCATCAGTGTCGTCTTGTGTCTTCAGGTTACCCAGCTTCTTCAGCTTGCGAGCTGTGGAAATGACACGTTTAAGTGTGAGACTTAGAAATAAAAAGGAAGCTTGAGGTTTCTCAGCCTCCAGCTCCATCACTTATATTTATGAGGAAAGGGAAATTGATGGCCAGCAGCAGCTAGTCCTCCAGTGCACGCCATCCAAAGAGTGCCCCGGCATCGCAGACCTCACGTAAGGACAAAAGGGAGCACACACTGCACAAGGAAATCTATTTGCTCATTAATTTTATATGGAAAAGAACAAGTATTATTTATGTCCGGCTGTGACTCGTCACACGTTAACTCCCACTTCGAAATGGAGAGGAAAAACAGGGGAAAAGAGGGAAGAGGCAATTCGATTCAAACAACTACTCACATGCAATTAAAAAGGGAAACAATGCATCAAATAAACCCAGTACCTGGTCACATTCCAGGGAAAAAAGCTATTGCACTCGGATGCTCAAGTGGGATTGTTCCACCCCAGGCCAGAGTGGAAGTGGAATGCAACCGAGAGAAAAGCCTTCTCCCTGCCCAGGGCTTCTCAAGGCCCACTGCCCTATAAACAAGCTCCCCTAGATGGGTCACTACTCCACAAATATATTATGGAAAATACATTTTAAGAGCCAGGAGGTCATCCCACAGCTACCTCCTTGGAGTCTCCCCAGTTAGTGCACCAGCGAGGAGAAGACTCAAGCAGGGGTGACCTTGGTCTGCTGGCCAGCTTCAAGAGCAACGTCAGCAGAGGGGGCTTGTGGGCTTGGGACTTGAGGAAGCTAACAACTGTGGCCGTATCACAGCGACAAAGTGTCCCTCCTGTGCACGCAGCTCTTTAATTACAGATGCTAGTCTGCTAGCAAGATACACCAGGAGCTTCAGATGTGTGACTACAAAGGGAGTTAGTGTTCACCTAATTTGATATCTACATGACGGTGCTCAGCACAACACGGGTTGGCAAGCTACTGCAGATAGGAACAGCTTTCGCCCCTTCCCGACTCCAAAAAGCCCTAATTAATTAGAGAAAAAAAAGCCAATTGTTTAATTCAAGCGGAGAATATAACATCAAACCAATTGCCCTTGGGGTTTTGGCTCCTTCATTACATGATACTTATCTCAAATTTCCTTTCAGCTGTAATTAGAAAAATAAGCAGCGAAACATAAAAATGTCAAGTTAAAGAGCAGCTTTGTAAATCAATTCCAAACATTGATCTTTAAGTAACTTACTTTGGATCATCTACTGCATGAGCAATTAAGACAAGGCTGCTCTTGTCTTAAAAGGAGGGAAAAAGAGTAATAAAGATAAAAAGAGAGCAAGAGGAAAACAGGGCTGCAGTGCAGAGTGACATCCTTCAGCATCACCAGTGCTGGGATTCAGGGAAGTTCTGGGGACCTGGAAGAAAACTGCTTTTGCAGTAGCAACGAAAGAGAAATCCTGCCAACCTCAGGCACCACAGACTGCTTTCAGCTGCAGGCGAAATGACAGAGAAACTGAAACAGCACTCGACACATCCTCTTCTTCAAATTTCTTACTAACATCAACCAAGATGTGGCTTGTCAAAACCAGACCCTGTCAAGCTATCAGTCTTTTCTGGCAGGATAACTTTAGTTGATAATTGTAATAGTACTGGTATAGCAGACATGTCAGTCAGGCCCACACAAATTTAAAGAACTCCAATGATATAAAATCAGACGGTACTGCTGAATGTTATAAATCACACGGGTGATACATTTCAAAAGTAATTACAAATGTTGAAGCAAGAGCAGACAGGTTCATTTCTTATAAGGCTTGCTCTTTGCAAAGTGAACGCCTACATTCATTCCAAAAAGAAAATTAAATATTTCTACTAAAAAGGCCTGTAAGACAGGGGATAGACGGGAAAGCAGTAACAAACATGAAAGGCTGAGCACTGAGCAGCCTAAGTCACAGGCGACAGGACGAGACGAAATGGCCTCAAGTTGCACCAGGGGAGGTTCAGGCTGGATATTAGGAAAAAATTTTTCACCGCAAGGGTTATCAGACATTAGAATGGGCTGCCCAGGGAGGTGGTTGAGACACCATCCCTGGAGGTGTTCAAAAGATGGGTTGATGTAGTGCTGGGAGATACGGTTTTGCGATGGTGGTGCTTTTTGTTTGTTGTGCGGGTGTTTATTTTTGTCAGTGAGGTTGACGGCTGGACAAGATGATCTTTAAGGTCCCTTCCAATCTAGAAGATTCTGTGATTCTAATCAAGGTCTGCTGATAAGGTCGGTCTATGAAAGCAGAGTACATTTCACCATAAGCAGATATCTATCGAGCAACTGAAAAAGTGAGCTCGCACCAAAAGCTGAGGGAGAAACCCAGAGGGCTGAGGTGGCAGCGTGGCTCGGGGGCAGAGGACTAACAGCATCCCATGTCATGGGAAGGAGGAAAAACCACTAGGCTGGAGGGCATCTTCCCACCACCCTTAAGCACTGATGCTGCTGATACTGGGAAACTGTGATTCACTTCACTGTACGAGGGAGTTGTTTGCAATCTGCAGAAGCCCTAAGAAGAGCAAAGACGCGACAACGCACCTTGGAGCACGGAAATAAAGGTGGTTATGCAGAAGGCTAATGAGTTATTAAGTCACAGCCTACAAATACCCACGGCGGGGACAGAAATTCAATAAGAGTAGGTTTTTTTCAATCTAGCAAGCAAAGCTGTAATAAAGATCCAGTTGCTGCAAATTAAGGAGAGACAAGATGAAAAATTAGGTACATCTCTCACAACACTGAATGTAATTAAGTACTGTAGCCACATGGCAAAAAAATGTGTGAGATTCCCCACTGCTGGAAATGCTTACATCGATATCAAATGCTTTTATAAGACATGAGCTCTATTTTAACCACAGAAACTGGACCTGAATTAGGACTAAATACACGTATGACTCATGCCTCGGGCTTTTACAAGATACCAGCAGTTATTACAGTAGTTTTCTGGTCCTAGCATCAATGAAATGAGCTGGATTTTACATGTTTGGGAGGTTTTGCCCCAAGACAGGACCCGCAGGCAGCGCAGTCGCCAGGCTGAAGGTGCAGAGCAGAGGTTCTGCAGCACAGGCAGCTGCCAGCTCCAACTGAGGGCAGAACCACTTGGGTCTCACAAGGGGCACAGCCTACACAACCTCGCACCCACGACTGAAAATGCACAGGCAACAGGAACAGGATGTGCCTTAAATCCAGAGCTCTGCCCTTCAGCAGGAGGTGCACTGGGCGAGCGATCATAGAATTATAGAATGGTTTGGGTTGGAAGGGACCCTAAAGATCATCCAATTCCAACCCCCTGCCCTGGGCAGGGACACCTCCCACCAGACCAGGTTGCTTAAAGCCCCATCCAACCTGGTCTTGAACATCTTCAGGGATGGGGCATCCACAGCTTCTCTGGGCAATCTGTTCCAGTGTCTCACCACCCTCACAGGAAACAATTTCTTTCTAGTATCTAATCTAAATCTCCTCTCTTTCAATTTAAAACCGTTACTCCTTGTCCTATCATTACACTCCCTGATGAAGAGTCTCTCCCCATCTCTCCTGTAGCCCCTTTAGATACTGGAAGGGGCTCTAAGGTCTCCCTGAAGCCTTCTCTTCTCCAGGATGAACACCCCCTACCCTCTCAGCCTGTCCTTATAGGAGAGGTGCTCCAGCCCTCTGAGCATCTTCATGGCCTCCTCTGGACCAGCTCCAACAGGTCCATGTCCTTCCTGTGCTGTGGCTCCAGAGCTGGACACAGTGCTCCAGATGGGGTCCCACCAGAGCAGAGTAGAGGGACAGGGTCCGGAATGGAGCAGGACAGAGGGGTCTGGACACCTGTACCAGGATCCGTGCAGGCACCTGCACTCGCAGCAGGAATTACTGCTGTGGGAGAGGGAGGACAGTGCACCAGCAGAACCAAGCACATGAAATTGGCATTATCACTTTGGGGTGGGTTTTTTTTTTTCCTTTTTCTTTTTTTTTTTTTTCTTTTTCAGTTTTTTTTTCTTTTCTTTCAATTTCCTTCTCTTGGGTTTTACAGTGTTGATTGGTAGAGAAGATTCTGTTTAATGGATTTCAGCTTGCAGGTCAGAGTGATCTCAATCAATAATGAAGTGCTTCGACATATTGCCATTCTGTGCCAAAGCAGAGAGTCCTAAATAAGGTATTCAGTGTGTCACCTCCTCCTCCCGTTAAACATACTGAGAGCTGCGGGTCTGCTGGTCACAGGCAGCTCCATTATACCCTACAAGTGACTGGTAATTAACAGGCAGTTAAAAACAACTGTTTTGGAGCTTGGGAGCATTTTCAAATGCTCTGCCTCTCTACTGTGGGAGAAACGACTGTGGACAAACTCATAGCATGCGTGTTTTTAACAATTGCCTTTAAACCGACATTCAAAACAAATGTAAAACAGACCAGGCAGAACAGGTCAGGATGACCCAAAGAGCTTAAGAAAAAAAAAAAAAAAAAGGGAGGGGGGGGGCTATCATTATTAGCATTAATTTTGTCAGTGTGTCCTGCAGAAGAAGGCTACGCTGGTGTATGTCTTCTCTTACTGAAGGAAATTTCACCAGAAAAGAGCACTTAAAAATAAGAGCATGCTTGTTTTGGATGGCATTATGAAGCCTTTCTGCTGGCTGTGGGCTGGGGAGCTGGGTTTGGCTCCTCACTCCTATCCCCCCAGCTCGGGAGCCCAGCAATCCCATGCCCAGGGCAACGGCATCCCGGGGTGGTGGCATCCCAGTCCCACAAGGGAAGTTTCCCAGAGGAGTCTCCCTGCTTCCACCGGGAAGCCACGGCTACCAACGGCCACCAGTGGCCATGAAAATGACTGTCATCAGAAACTAGAAGGTGTGTGGGCAGGCACAGGGCAGGGACAGGCTTCTCTGGCTTCTCGCCCTCCCAGCTCAGCTGGGTGACCAGGGCTGGGGGCAGAACTGGGGAAGCAGATGGTGAACTGAGCTGGAGAGATCCACCCAGTACCTTCAGCAAGCCAAGTGCCTGCTCGGTCACACCAGGTGGATGGGGCACCTCCCTGGTGTCCCACCGACTGGACGTGCTTGTTGGTACCTGAGCTGTAAGAACTATTCTGGGGAGAAACAAAATTATAACCACAATAAACCAGAATCTTTTCGGTAGAAAGTTCTTCAAGGCAACCCTTAAGCAGCTCCGGGAGGCACTGCCCATCCCAGCAATGGTGGGAGTATTTAAAGTTGGCACATTTATTATATTTATGATTGTGTTTAAATGTTATTATTATTAATGTTATTATTCAGTATTTATTATTATATTTAAATGTTGGCACATTTAACTGGCCAGGGCTCCCCACCTCCCTCTGTGCTGCGCCAACGCTGCCAGTGGGTTTCATTTCTGTATCACCCAGGAATCTCCTCCGCTTCGCTGTCAGGGGCCTTTCCATCCTGAATTAGGTCCATCAGCTCTGTTTCCCAGGGTATTTCCTTCCTCACTCTCACATCAAACGAACGCAGAGATGAGCCACCCACTGAGCTACATTGTACCATCTAGATTTTGAGCAGAAAACCTTGGATTTTGGATATGGGCACTCTGTCAGGTTTTGGTAGAGCTACAGGTTTGGGAACAAACAGTAACAAGGATTTTTACCAGTGACAGAGGAGCAACTTCCATTCAGTGAAGAATAATACTGGGGCTATAATTTTATCAAGAAAAATGTCCCTTTCTGCCTGGGAAAATTCATCTTAAAATGTATTTGCTCTGTTCAAAGAGGCTTTGGTGTGACTGAGAATCCAGCTTACCCAGACGTTTACCTTTTTTTTTTTTCAGATTTAACAAGGTTTTAAATTAAGGAAAATAATGTTTCCTGAAACTCAAACAAAAGTTTAATGAAATTCACAGGCTTGGTATTAGAAACCTGCAAACGTTTCCCAAAGCTCATTACGCTCCATCAGCCTCGTTTATTTAGACATTTACTGATGATTAATATGCCAAGTACATTCGTTATCTGCAGGATGAGCCCAGCATCCCCAGCCCATCGCGAGGACCCAGGGGACATTATTCAGACCGTACCTCCAAGAGTCATCCCAGCCTCATAGCACTTCCGCAGGCGGCAGGACGGGCAGTTTTTCCTTCTGAACTTGTCGATGGTGCAGTCGTTCCGGCTGGCACAGAGGTATTTCTGTTTACCTACAAACATCAACGGAAACGGCAGGTGAGTGGTGGGTACCCATCCCATCAGGGGTTTACAGGGCTCAGGCTTTCTCAGTATCACCAGAGAGGAGAGGAAGATGGAGAGGAGAGGGAGATGGAGAGGAGAGGGAGATGGAGAGGAGAGGGAGATGGAGAGGAAGAGGGAGATGGAGAGGAAGAGGGAGATGGAGAGGGAGATGGAGAGGAGAGGGAGATGGAGAGGAGAGGGAGATGGAGAGGAGAGGGAGAGGAAGATGGAAAGAGAAGAGGAAGATGGAGAGGGAAGTGGAAGATGGAGAGGAAGATGAAGATGGAGTGGAGAGGACCGTATCAGTGCCGGTTTCCCAGTTCACCCCTCAGCAGGAAATTGAGAGTTGGAAGTTGGTATCTTTTGGGAAAATGGCACTGTTCATCCTCTGCTGCTACAGGAGGAGTTTGCTGCCAGATACACAGGCTTTGTACAAGAGCTGGCAACCCGAAATGCAGATGCAGTCACTTCTCTTTTCCCATTCTTCACCCCCCCGTAGCCCAGTGGCTCCACTCCTCCTGACAGCCACAGGGCAGAGGCTTTTAGACCAAAATGTCCAAGGAGAAAAATCACTCTGCACTGTGCAGCACAGCAGAGGTAGTCAATAAGCAGCAATTAAAAAGTAATGAAATATGGATATCGGTTCTCATTTTTTAAATGTCATACGTCTATTGCTTGGCTTTTTGCTGTGAAGAGCTGTTTTTCTCCCAGAACACCTTCAAAACTCTGTGTGATCCCTCCTGCCACAGCACTTACCTACAGTTTGCTGAATATATTTCCCAGACAGGGACCTCCCCTCTACAACCACGACTCTCTTTACAGTGCTTTTTGGAACTGGATTTTTTTTTTCCTCTGGTGCCATCCATTAATACTAATTGTGTTTGCTGTCTGCAGGTTACAGCCACTGGGGCTGGGGAAGTGACGGTGTGGGGAGCTGCTGCCCCACAGGCTCTGCCCCCAGGGGTCTCATGGCACCAGTCATCCTGTCTCCTGGCTGCACTCACAGCCAGAAGATTCCCAGAGATTCCCAGCAAGGGAGACCCTGAGCAGCAGCAGGTTTAGGGGGGAGCTTGGATAAAATTCAGAAGTCACTTATTGTCAGAATAACCGGTATCTTAGACTCACCTTTCCACTTGTTTAGAGAGCAGCCCTTAGAGCTCCAGATTTCATATCTTTCTTTTTTTTTTTTTTTCCACTGCTTCATTTGCCAGACATGCCAAGAATTAATTTTCCTTCCTGACTCATCATTTGTTTTCTTGTCAAGTCCAAACAAGTTTACTGGATCCGGATTTATCTGATGTTCTTCATACTGTTCCAAACTAAACCAATCTCCGTAAATAATAGAGCTGTGCACCTCACAGACTCTGAGCAAGTAGCCTACACGGGAAATTGGTCTATATCCAGCTTACCCTTTACTTACCCTGCAAGTGTTTGCTTTCTGTATTCTTATAGGAATAGCCCTTTGGAGTCATCAGAGATCCATTAAAAGGATGAGGTTGAATCTAACTGCTTAATGTACCAGTTTTGACAAGAGAGGCACCGATGTGGGTGCACTGATTTAACAGCTCCCCACCTCCCACACACACATCCACAACTTCTGAAGATACTGGAGTCATAAGGAGCGGCAAATTTTTAGCAGCCTGGTATCATAGACCTCACTGGTACCCTCTGTTGCTTCCCCATCACCCTTCCAAAGAGCAGCTTTGTTTCCTGTCTCCTGGGGAGCCCACAGAAGGTCCCACTGCTCCTCCCCAGTGCTGCAAAATCCCACCTGCAGCCCCTCACCACAGAATGACCAGAAACATCATTCGAAGGCGGGGTGTACAAACCAACTCCTCCTCACACGGGGCGTGCACAGGGCTGCAAAAATGCATTTGCACTTCTTGGAATCGTCCCCATTAAAAGCTGATCATCACACCACCCCCAGCGCCTTAGCTGTAAAGACTGGAGACCTAATGGGGCAAGATTGCATTACCTGCAGCACGTGACACTTTGCTAAACCCTTTTAGCACCATTCTCATCAGCACCTCGTCTCATCCCCCCCTCCCTTTGCTCATTAGCAGCGTTAAGGACACTTAGGCAAGCCTCAGAAGCGGCGATTACACCAAACCCTGGAGAACACAAGCACCATCCTCCCTTTCGACAGTTCATTGAGGAGGTTGAGTAATAAACAACTTCAGCTGAAACTGGGTTACTTGGAGTTATTTTTGTGCTATGGGAAAGGAGTGCCAAGGCCGTACGCTCCCCGCTCGACCTCTTTATGTGCGCGCATCCGAGAGGAATGGGCGCCCTACTTTCTCAGGCATGGGCATGGGGAGCTGTAAGGTGATGTTGCTCTCCGTCCCCGCCAGCTGCACTGCAGGATTCCTCTCTCGTGACGACGTCTGACACCGGGATGCTCCGGAGCCCATCAAAACTACCATGAATATAAACCTGGGAAGGCTCAAGCCCAGCCCACGGGGCCAACTCGGTCTCTGGCCAAGGCCGTCGGGTTGCTGTGAGTGATGCTGCTCTGGGAGCAACCCCACAACCCTCCTGCTCACCCATCGGCTCCTGCTCCTATCCCTATCTTGCCTCTCTAGTCTAAACTACAGCATTTTTTTGCAACAATAGCAGCTCAAAATCTTTAAAAAGGTCAAGCCTCTCCTGTGAATGGCTTTAGGAAGGGACGGCGGCGCAGTGACTGCCCCAGCTCCCCAAGGACGCTCCAGGGCCAGGCACGGCTCTATCTAAATTCTTCTGCCCAGAGGAGGAACATCCACCAGCCCCAGCCCTCTCCTCTCCCCCACGCTCCGGGCAGCGTCGGATGCACAGGCTCATCCCCCACCCCACTCCATCCCCCCAGGGCACCCACGGGAGGGGAGCAGGGGGCGGATGAGATTTGGGGACCGGGTCCAAGCCTTGCTGGATGAGGCAGCTCTTCAGCAGCATCCACCACCCCTGGCAGGGCTGGGAAGGGACACGGAGAGGGAGCGATCTCCCACCAGCTGAATCCAGGCAGGTGCCTCAGTGCCTGTGCCCCACCCCCGGGATCAAAATGCACAAATTGGGCACATGAGAAGAGTCTGTGTGACAGCTTCACCTCCCTGCCCATGGGCTGGGGTGAACGCAGGCTTTTCAGCTGCATTCAGTCAACAACTCACCCCACGGTCACAGTACAGTGATTTTGCTGAAATAGCGAAGGGCCTGTTTCCTGGTTCACAAAATAAACTCTTTGGGGCAGGAACCGATTCTCTGTTAACTGCACATATACAGCCTGGCACTGTTTATTTTAAGCTGTTAGCCATTAACAAAAAGGGAAACAAATGGTCATGCAACGGCTACTCCTAAGTCTGCTTCTGCCCAGCATGAGATATAAGCTGCTTGCTATTCTTGTCCTAATTCCTAGGGATGCAGAGATTCCCTGTTTAACTGCTGGAGAAACCCAGCACCCTCATCACTACTATCCCCAGCTGTGGATAAGGTTTGTGAATGGAATCTGAGACCCAGGAGAGGTCTCTGCCCTGGTGAAACCAACCATCCTGAACCCCCTGTGCCCATCCTCTCTGCTCAACAACCAGAGATGTGCACCTCGGGAAGTCCCCTCTCCTTCCCTGCTGCTCCAGACACTGTTTGACATGCACGTAGGTGAGAAGTGAAGCTACAGAGGTACTCAGCACCTCTCTGCTGTGTCAGACCAGCACAAGACTCCCAGGAGATCACAACTGTGCAACCAAGGGTGTTGCAGCCTGCTGTAGGTCCCCCCTTATACACTGCTGTCCCACTGTCCCCTTCACTGGGAACATGCCTGCTGGCTCCAGATCCCTCCTGTGCCACCTCATGCCAGGCAGAAAGACACTTCTGCCACCACCGAGTCCTCCTGCTCATCACCTGCAATGAGCATCAGCAGCAGAGGCAGTAGGGGAACAGCAGTTCTCCTGCCTTGACTGAAAATACAGATTTACAGAGAAAGATTAGTTGCTCAGTCCAGAGAAGTTATTTAACTAAAAGCCTGTTGTCACATGAATTGTTGTGCTTAGAGAAGCTTTCTCTTCCAGAAAGCAAAGTAATCTATGCAAACATCTGGAGTAAGATTTATGACTGTGAATATGAAAACCCCTTAAATGCCTTTTGGAAGAGAGAGATATCCTCGTATTTCAGGGCATAAACCAAATTATAACAGCTTGGGGATAAGGCCAAGCTTTCTGAGAAAGCAAATCCCCCAGGGTTTCTAACCACAGGGTTTCTGGTGCTCTTCTGTAAAAACAACTAAGCCATTATTAATAAACTATCTTTGCAAATTCATTTTCTTAAGAGTCGCCTGTATTTACCAGAAGGTTAAAATAAACAAAAGGAAAGCGTCCAGCCCCAGTGACAGAGTCTGGGCTCCAGCACCAGTTCCAGTTCATTCTCAGGGCAGTGACTTCGGCAGCCCCGGGGTGGCCGGGAAGGAGGGCTGGCTGCGGGAAGAGCAAGGGGGAAGCTCTCCAGGGAACCCAGAATCATGGTCTGCAAGTGAAAACACGAGCCAGCCAGAGAAACACCAGCGTGGAAGCTACAGATGTTGGTGAACTAACAGCATGGGCAGGTGACAGCTCCGTACAGGAGACAATCCAGCAAGAAGCCCAGAGCAAGCCAAGGCGAACCTCCAACCTCCCACCAGACCAGGTTGTTCAAAGCCCCATCCAGCCTGGCCTTGAACCCCTCCAGGGATGGGGCATCCACAGCTTCTCTGGACAACCCGGGCCAGTGTCTCACCACCCTCACAGGAAAGAACTCCTTCCTAGTATCTAATTTAAATCTCCCTTCTTTCAGTTTAAAACCATTACCCCTCATCCTATGGCTCCACTCCCTGATCAAGAGTCCCTCCCCATCTCTCCTGTAGCTCCTTTATGCACTGAAAGAGGCTATAAGATCTCCCCGGAGCCTTCTCTTCTCCAGGCTGGACCTCCCAACTCTCTCAGCCTGTCCTCATCGCAGAGGTGCTCCAGCCCTCTGAGCATCTTCGTGGCCCAATTGCTCAGCTTTCTGGCAACAAGACAAAACCATAACCTTTTAACTCCTGAGCCTCCTTGAAGACAAACTGTCTGCTTCAGTCTCCAAACAGCGTCATGGCTGACACTTCACTGACAGCTTGCTGGAGCCCAGGCTGAAGCCATGAGCAGCTGCCTATCTGTGGCACAGCACAGAGAGCTGTCACCCCCTCTCCAGGTGCCAACAGACCAGGTCACCCACTGAGAAGCACTGGGAGGACCTGGTCTGTGGGCACCAAGGGGAGAGAGGAGCAATCCCACCTGGCAGGGGGACACGCAGGAGACAGACATCACACTGTGCCAGGAGGTCCTGAGCTTTCCAAGGGCGGGTTATTCCACCTTCTGCTCTTCCCATGGATTTTTAAGGCCAATAATACCCATTGGATAGTGAGAAACCCACCACTGCAGCAGGAGCATCATGGTGCTGCAGCACCACATAAGTCTTTTGCAGACACGATTCTTTTGCATAGTGACAGATCAGCCACGGGAAGAAAAAGAAGGAACTTTAAAACACAGTGATCGTCTTGGAAAACAGTTAACTTTAACTTGTTGTCATCTTGAAAACTGGCAAGAAAGTGTTGAGTTGGCCCGGAGACATTTCTCCGGTGCAAGGCTAGTCCCCAGCAGGTCAGGACATAAAACAATTATCCATATGGAGAGCGACCGAAAGGGAATCGGGACAGCCTGCACAGCAGTCTGGCTGTTAGCCCAAGAGGAAATTTGCCAAATACTGTGATATTTTTTTTCATTTAGCTCTCTGCTATTTAAAGGCAGCCCTGTCAGAAACACGGCCTAAAGCATCCCAGCCCTGCGCTGCCAGGAACACTGCACCGAGGCGGCTCTGAACTGGCCAAGACGGCTACCAGATCTCCTGCAATCATGGGGGGATGAGGAAGTTCTACCATTTTTCAGGGATGGATTGGAGGGGACACAAAGACTACTCCCTTCCTGGAGGGGATGGCACATCAGAAACACCTGGACTGCCAATTGATTTAGAAGGCTGTTGTGTTTTTCCTGTTTCAGGGACAACTGTGGTACCATGAGGACCAAACCCTGATGTCTTCAACTCATCTGAGCGACCTTAACTGTGCAAAGTGATGACTTGCCTATGCATGTCGAGAAAAGCTAAACCTCTGCTGAGGTGGATGCACTTTTTCTTTACCAAACCTTTGTTATTGTAGGAGAAAGAGGAATTAGAAAGAGTCCTCCCCCTCCTTTGCAGGCTGTGAGTGTGTCTGGCAGCAGAAGAGCAGCAGAACTTCTCACCGGGGCAGCGAGCCCCAACCCTCTGGATCCCTCAGTGCTCAAATACTGAAGAGGGTAAGGGAAAGGGAGAGACAAATGCCCAGTTTAATTACAAAAATGAGGCTGGCCATCTTGCAAGTGAAGAAGTCCACATCACAGCTGAAGAATCTGCAGGCCGTATTTTAGAGCTTGCCTATATATATCCTGGACATCTCGAGATAGTCTATAAATTGAGGGAGCTGACAGAAAGAGATCAGGAAAACATTCGTGCCTTTTCTGTTAACTCTTGAAGGATCTTTCTGGAAGAACCAATTGGACTTGAGCTCGAAAAAAACCTCATATCTGCCAAATATTTTATCACAGCAGGAGTGATCTGCTCTATTGGAAACTACATGAATCCCTCAGCTTGTTTTGAAAGGGAAGAGGAATCAATATTGACACTTGTTTTTTTTTTTTTAAATCTTTTCCCTTTCTAATCCCTTAGAAGCTTTCATCAATATACCTGAATTACTGTCAAATTAGTTCAGTATTATATTAGGAAAGAATATGATAAAAGAAAAACTACATATCTAGCTATTCTCCATTCCCTTTGAGGAGATCTGTTTGTGCTGCTCTTCGGTTCCCAGTCCATTGCTTCTTTGACCCACTGGAGGCTGCTGGTTTACACCAGTAACAGGATGGTCACAGAGGCAGAAGAAAAGCTTTCTTTTCTCATCGGGGAAGCTTTCTGATCTGCTGTTGTATAAAGTTTCCAAAGATGACCTAAGGGTTTCGGAGATGCATTTTATGGACTTTAAAGCATGAGAACACGCTGAAATATCAGCTTGCAATATTGCTCCTCAACTGTGAAAGAGGAAAGGTCTGCTGGAAAACCACCAAGAGTTAGGATATAAATCACCAGCTAACACCACCCCGCATTCAATATTTATAATGGACTCTGATTTACTGTCTCTTCTCCAAAATAAAGACTCCGTCCATGTACCTGAGGGTAACATAAGGTGAAACCTCATGCTCAGACAGGTCCCCCCCACCGCTGCTGCTCCTCACTGCGGACACGGTTCACTCCATGGTCTCACCCAGAAGAAAGGCAAAGGGCTGCTGCCGCCCGCTCCTAATGCAACCAAACACTTCTAATCCCCGGCGATACCTCGAGGCTTAACTGCTAAGAGGCATAAATACGATTTAAATTAATGATCTAACCCAATCAAGAGAGGGAAACACCACCAGAGTGTGTGATAATGAGCTGCGCGAGCAGCCCAGCTGCCCCTTCTCCCCCAGGACATCCCACAGCCCTCATTTGCTGGATGGAGCCCACCCTGGTGTAAAAGGAGAAGCACCCTTCTGGGACTCGCCAGCTGACACCGGGTATTTCAACAGCACTTTATCTAACAGAGAGAGCCAAGACTCCACTTACTATAAATCAACAATAACTTGCTGACTTAAACAAGCATCTGTTATTTACTCTGGCTGCACAAGCCAATCCATCTGGCCTTACACAGAATTAGTGTATAGCAAAGAGACATATCTGTAAATGATTTACTTGGGGAAATTATGCCAAACTTATTATCTATTAATATTGTTTGACTGCCTTATTATGGCAACAGGATGCTGTTGTCCTCTATTGCACAGCCCCGATTCTTCTCCGAAGCAGTGCTGGCAAGTTCACTCCTGGTATGCACGATGAATGAGGGAAAACGCGACTTGGAAAATGTGCAGGATAATGCTGGAATCAACCCGAAATCAGTGCTCTGACAACGGCAGTTGAGCACCCATCAGTTTGGGACCTCTGCTCAGCAGAGGGGTGACATAAGGCACAGGAGGAGAAGGTCACAGCAAGACAAGCCAGAGACAGAAGCCTCCATCCCTGTGTCACTGGCCACCACTGGGAACTGCAGTCCCTCCTGCTCCCAGAGATCATAGAATGGTTCAGGTTGGTAGGGACCTTAAAGATCATCCAGTTCCAACTGCTTGGACACCAAGGGTAGAGCACGGCTCTCACTGAACAGATGGTTCTGCCCTTTTGCAGGTATTGAGAAAAGTGACCCTCTGAGAGGGATGTAGGAGAGGAAAAGCATCCCCTAAATTTGAAGTTGTGGGTCTGAGATCACAGGAGGGATGATGGGGACTTAAAGCACCCTTGAGAGTCCAGAGGAGAAGCAGACACTGACTGCTCCGATGTCTCACCAGGTCACTAAGATAATCAGGCACTGAAAAGGACTGTTTTGCAAACTGGTTTGACTACTTTTTGAGGGCAATCTGTCAGGTGGAATGACAAACATATGACAAAGAAATCAATTTATCCTTGAATTTTCTCCTTTACTAGCTTAAGAGACCTTAGAAATCTACCACACTTTGTCCCCACCACTCCTGCATCAGTCCTCTAGGCTTGGCAGGCTCCCCAAAGCAAGGTTGTTCAACATCTTTCAAGAAGAAGAAAGCATATCATGATGCTGCAAACGCCTCCAGTGCTTATATGTTAATGACTTGACTGCTGATAAGAGAACTTGTGTCAGTATATCTTGACTCTTAAGCTACTACAAGAGAAAGCCAACACTTGGAGGTGGGAGTGATTTTCCCTCCCCTCTCTGTATGCATTACCTTCAGCCGCTCGTTTGAAGAAGACTTTGCAGCTACCACAAGTGAGGGCTCCGTAGTGGCACCCAGACGCTTCATCTCCACAGATCAGGCAAGTCTTCTGAGGTGGAAAGTAATAGTCAATGGGCAAGACATGTTCATGGCCAGTCTCCAACCTGCAGTGTAAAAGAGAAAGAGAAGAAGGGAAAGGGTCAGCAGATGAGGTCAGGGTGAGCTGTGGGTGAGCTCAGCGGATGGCACTTGGAACAGCTTTCATGGCATAACCCAAATTTCAGTGATGGGACAAGCCAAGCATTGATTAGAAAGGAGGCAAGAGATAACTAAGCCAAACCTCGCTTTGACCACGCAGAATACTGTGCTGGGGTGCTCCTCCTGACATTCCCCCTAAGTACAATGTGTGACAAAGTACAGGCGTGGTGACAGCAAAGCCTAGAAAGAGAAGACGACCAGGACTGGCTGTTGGCAGTTGTCATGTAATTTTGCCTTCAAGGGTGAGGCTTGTACATCAAGAAAGGACTCTGCATGCTCATTAAGCTACATGATCCCACTCCATTAAAGTCATTCTCTGTCACTTAACTACAGACATATCTATCCTTCTGATTCTTAATTTAAACAAATTAGTTTTTCCTAAGGTATCAAACTCCCTTAAGCTACTCTTTTCCTTTTTTTCTCTTGCTTATTTTCTACCTATCCCCTCTGTCAACACCCAGCAATGGCTGCACTGAACTTTCTTCCAGGATGCCTTGCTCATCCACATGACTACTAAAACCAGCCAGAGCGAATGTGTCCAAGTAGACTCCTGTTTATACCCACCCCATGACTAAAGGCACTACCTCCACGTCTCCCAGCCACAGAGGGTACATTGGGATAGTGCCACCAAGGTCCCGGCCCTGGAATGGCCCCATGGGCAGAGCACGGCGCTGCCAACCACCGAATGGTGAAAATAAACCCCGGAGCCAAAAATAAAAGTGGCAAAAGGTCTGTCAAATAATAATTACGATTAAATGATGGAAGAGGGTCAGTGTGGATTACAGAGCTTCACATTTTCCACTCTCCAGCTCAGCAGTCTGAACAACACGTTTAAGGTTTTCGGGCTAGAAACAAGGTTGGGGACAGAAACCAGGGGCAGAGCATGGACTCCCACGGGGACCTGGGTCATCTTTGCCTCTTGTTCCTCCCCCCAGCCATCAGTTTTGACACAACTGCTTCCAAGTTCTGCTGGGGAAGCCTCCTGCAGCCCTGGCACAAGCCAAGCAGGTGCCAAGCCCAGTGAGAGGACTGCGGTGGTCCACCACCACCCCCCCTCCTACTGCTCCCTGGCCAGCACAGCCCATAGAGTTGTGCTGACAACGTGGGGCTGGATCCCCATGAGCCAGGACCCTGGGGGAGGACTTGTGCCAACCAGCCACGTCAACCACAGCATCGAGACACTCCAAGAGCCAGCCCTCATATCCGACCACGTGTTCCTCACGCTTCCTTCCATGCCCAAATCCTTTTCTCCTGGCTGGTACCCATCTCTGCCACCTCACTCCTGACACGTTCCCACACACTTGCTTGATCAGATCTAAGGAGAAGCTGCTTTTTTGGAAGGCACGGCAGCACGAGAGGTGATTATCAGAACCGCAAGCCAACGCATGCCCAGGCAGCACGGGGAGCAATAGCATGGTAAGTTACTTGCTAAAACACGCTTTTTTTGTCAAAACACTGAATGAAGCAATTAGCTTCTAACAGCCAGCAGGTCACTGCAACTTTTTTGGTCAAAATTAGATCTGCTTTTGGCTTCTGAGGTTGTTTGAAAGCTTGCAGGTGAGCTCTTAGATATCAAATTATATTAAGAGCGAATGTAACAACGCCGGGACTTCTGGAAAAAGTCTTTATGCTCTGAAAAGCCCCAGTTGAACCCACAGTGTGAACAAACCCAAAATCCACAGAAACAGAGAAGAGCCCTGGGAGAGACGGCAGGCAGAACCCACACCATGTATCTTCTGAAAAGCCTTGCAACTTTTAGAAGAAGGGGCCAAACGCCAACACAGACCCCGGGGGCAAGGGAACACCGTCCTGCTTCTCAGCCCCTCTGCCCCCAACTGCCACCCGTGGCAGCTCCAACCTCCAGGGCACAGCACAAGCAAGGGGACATCTCACACACCGAAAGAGCAGCAGGTTTAATTAAGGGAAGATTTGCATGTTGTCGGATGTTAATCAGCAGCTTTTCCCCTGGGGTTTCCATCTCCGCAGTGATTTAGGATGCCCCCCGCTTGCTGGGCTGAGGCTGCAGCAGGCACCGGGGCAGTCGGCCGGTCCCCCCACCTCTTCCATCCCTCTCCCTCCTCCTTCTCCCCACCCCGACTCATTTCACTGCTCCCAAAACACGGGGAGATCCTGCAACCTGCCCTGGCACAGGCAGCAGTCCCACAGACATGGGGATTAAAACTACTTATGGTGGGAAGAGCTTAAAGAGCAATCGCCTTTCAGGAGAACTGTGGCAAGGACAATGACGCACTCGTGTAGGGGCAGCTGCCAGCTAATCACCTTTCGCTCAGCTCTTTAATTCTGGTAATAAGAGAATTTAGCCCAGACTATCCATTCCCTTTTGGTTTCAAGGAACCACGGAATTGTCAGAGTTGGAAGGGACCTCTAGAGACCATCTAGTCCAACTCCCCTGCCAAAGCAGGGTTGCCCAGAGCACATCACTCGGGAGCATCCAGGTGGGGCTTGAAGATCTCCAGAGAAGGGGACTCCACGACCTCCCTGGGCAGCCTGTTCCAGGGCTCTGCCACCCTCACCCTAAAGAAGTTCTTCCTCATATTTGAATGGAGCTTCCCATGTTCCAGCTTGTGCCTGTTGCCCCTCATCCTGTCACTGGAAACCACTGAAAAGAGTCCGGCTCCATCCTCCTTCAACCCACCCTTTAGGTACTTGTCAACGTAGATAAGGCCTCCCCTCAGCCTTCTCTTCTCCAGGCTAAAGAGCCCCAGTTCTTTGAGCCTTTCCTCATCAGGGATGTGCTCCAATCCCTTAATCATCTTTGTTGCCCTACGCTGGACTCTCTCCAGTAGTTCCCTGTCTTTCTTGAACTGGGGAGCCCAGAACTGGACGCAGGATTCCAGTTGTGGCCTCCCCAGTGCAGAGCAGAGGGGGAGAATGACCTCCCTCAAGCTACTGGCCACACTCTTCCCGATGTTGCCCCGAATCCCATTGCCCCCCTTGATGACAAGGGCACATTGCTTGCTCATGGAAAGTTTGCCATCCACCAGGACTCCCAGATTCTTCTCCTGAGTTGTGTTTTTCAGAAGATCCACCCCTAACTTATATTGGTGCCTGGGGTGCTTCCTCCCCAGGTGCAGGACCCTCCATTTGCCCTTGTTGAACCTCAGTAAGTTCTTCTCTGCCCAGCTCTCCAGCCTGTCCAGGTCACGCTGGATGGCAGCACAGCCCTCTGGAGTGTCGGCCAGCCCTCCCAGTCTGGTATCATCAGCGAACTTGCTGAGAATACACTCTGTCCCCACGTTTCCTTCCCAAGAAACTAAGCAGACAGAGGGTTTCAAATGACAAGTGTTTCCTCAAGAACAGACGAGGAACTAGTATGCAGTCCTCAGTAATGTGCTCTAGGTGTTCCTGCTTTAGCAGAGGAGTTGGACCAGATGATCTCTAGAGGTCCCTTCCAACTCTGACAATTCCGTGATTCCGTGATTTGACTGGTTTAAACCATACCATGGGCTGAAAAATACCCGCAGGTGCAGACAGGACTCCAGGGACTGTTGCTACTGTTACGTGAACTACTACTGGGATGCTTAATTTCAACCAAAGATCAACTCTGTGACCCAACTACCAGCACCGTTTGCCTTTCGCACAGGTGGGGGCTCTCTGCTGAAGAAGCCCCTCACACCTTGACAGCAAAGAGTGAGATGGGACAATTGTTTGGGGAGACCAAAACCCATGATTGCCTCTCTCCTCTGATCCTGCTCTCAGTTGTGTCCTTCAAGAAGGCTGCTATCTTCTATTCCTCACATGAGAGCTATGCAGATCCTACTTAAATTGTAGGTTAATAACTGGAGCAGCAATTTTATCCTCTCTTCTTAAGGCAAGAAACATTTTGAGTGATTTCTAATCTTTTTAGCAGCAGCAATCAGAATCAGTGATTCATCTGGAGATGCTGCTCAACCACTCGTCCCTGACAATCTCAATTTCCAAGGCTTTTCTTGAATTACCCATTAAACGGAGGAGACACAGTTGGCTGCAACATACCTGCCATGGTTAGGTCCTGATGCAATGGGCATCTCCCTGCCTTGCCTCCCAGTGCAATTCCACTCTCCCATCCCCAGCAGCAGCCCAGGGCACCCCCTCATTTCTCTCACGCCACAAACCCCAAGGCTACACAGCCTCAGCACTCGCTGCGAGGTGCTACTTCGAGCAAGCACTACTAAGAAATAACCAGCAGCAGATACAAAAGCGTTGCTAAAAATGTCTTATTTACCCAGCAATTTCTCAGATTCCAGCAGTACCAGACCTTTCCTCTAATGACCCGTTACCTTTTTTTTCTCCTCTCTACGCAATCAGAAATCTGAAAAGGGCTAATTTCTGTTTTTCCATAAAGCCTTCCATACTGTGCTTTCCTTGCTCTTTGCACTATGTATTTCAGATTGGAAAGGAGCAAAAGCGACTCTCCCAGCAGCAGCTGCTGTGATGAGAGAAGCAGGACCCCCAGAAGACCTCGGGGTATTTTTGAGGCTTAATTATTCAAAGCTGCAAAGTAGGTTAGCAATTTTAAACAGCTTTTAAAATAGCTATTTCTGCAGAAGAGTTGTGCAAGCAGAAATATGCCTTCATATACCTATCTAGTGCACCTATACATGTGGCATCTGCTTATGAAGGGTGCTGAGCAGAGCATCCCAGGGGTGCTGGGGGTCTCCCCACAAGCCTCCTCTTGTGCTCGGCCAGTCTCACCCCCCTGCCACCCACTTACAGATGGCAATCAGAGGGAGCTGCCAGACCCTGAGGGTTAATCCTGGCTGTGAGACAAGCTCATCCCAGGTCTAATCCTCCTGCCTTCGGGGTTTGCACAAGGGAGCAGCCCTCGGGAGCTGATGTTTTGGCAGCTGGAGAGCAGCTCGGCTCCAGCCCTGGCAGCACCAACACCATTTCCAGCTCTCTCCTG